GGGCGGTCACATCTTGCCACGCGCTCGAATTGGGCGGTAGGCCGGCCTAAGACAACGATGTTTAATAATTAATTACTCGTTAACTATTACGAAAATTGCAAAATGGTACAGGACTTTTCCGTTCATCTCGATCCGTTCTACCTTCTCAAAAATTTTGTCGGATATGGAAAGACTCACCCTGTATACTTCACGTTGAAACAGTGCTCTTACCTCCAATCCATCGATGCCGGGGTTCCCGCGAATTCCTTTGGCGCCAACCGAATTTATGCCTCCGTCACCAGGCTCCCCCGAATAACCAAACTCGCCTGTCGGTCCTTGCGGTCCGCGGGGCCCGAAAACCCCGGGTATGCCGGGTGCGCCGGCACGGCCGTCGGTTCCGTTGCACCCGTCCAGTCCGTCTGGACCCATCACACCGGGTACACCAGGATTACCCTAAGGAACGCTCGCTACAGTCCCTCTGAATAATTCTTTCGCACGCAGAGGCGCGACAAGGGCGAAATTGGGCTAAACTCAGCTCAGAAATTCACTAAATTCAGCTCAGAAGCGCAAGGAGCTTGTGATTTCATTCTTTACCCTTTCATAAGACACAGAAGGAGGCTGGAAGATATGGCAAGGAGTTGTTAATTTACATTTCCATCTACGTATTATTCTAATTATTGGATCATATCAGGATAGCGCGTGCTCTTATATATTCGTCTCATATTTTGAAATTATGGTTGGGTTGTTATTTTATGTTGCCCGGAATTTATCGTGCGCGAGACATAATGTGCGATTATTAAAAGTAAAGAGCGGAACTCTGGTCTTTCGCGGACTTTGATTTACTTGGGACGGCGAAACGGTTAATATACGTACGGAAAGTCCTGCGGCTCCCACAAATCCTTGTATACCATCATCGCCCTAAACAGAGGAAACAGAAAAATAATGTTCAATTTCTTACAATTTTCAACGATTAGCTGAATGCAGATGTATGCGCATTGCGGAATATACGAGTACACTTGCAAAAATGAGTGAAATTAAAACGCCTAATTGATGTCGTCCTTGGTACGAAACTGTTTCTCTTTTTCGCAAGTGAATACAATAAATGCTTCATATTCATCCAGTCGCATCTTACCGGCAGCCTGAGGCCTAAACAATCGAGTCGAAATATGCTAACTGTTAATGAATAATATCGATTTTTGTCTTTTCATTTATTTACTGAGCTTAATCGTATCGTACTTAAACAACGTTGATGTTAATTAATAATTATCTTCTGCCAGAGCACAAAGCTAACTCAAGTATTTTTAATTATCTATTAAATAATCCGATTTAGCGTGCTTTGTGCGTTAATTTAAACTTGCATCTTCAAACGAAATTGCAGAGTAATAAGATATCTAATTAAATATAATTAATTTGCAGCACGAAAGTAGAATTTCACGCACTGTTTACGCAGTTTTTAACATCAAATGTCAGACTACTCGCCGAGTGCCTTCTGCGATCGATCTCTATTATCTCCGCGCTTAATTATAATTAATTTGGCCATCGCCGCATCTCAAGTACATCTCGTACGAGCGGCGTCGTGGCAATTGCAGATATGATTGAATGTTACATCGTGGATAGTCTCTCGAAAATGAGAGGTCGGCTGAGAAAGTGAAACTGTGACCGTTAAAAAAGTACTAGGGTATTTCTGTTAATTTCTGCGAGAGATATGCTTGCAGTGGACGCTAAACAGGTGGATTTTACAGCTTTGGGCTTTTACGCGGCGCATTCACGTTGAACGCATCCCGCGCGAGTGTTGCATGCGGTTACAGCCATTACGCGTCCCCTTTGAGTTTTAACATGTTTATTGCATTCGTCGGGAATGAGTTTAAGAATTTACGCGAATCTCCCTACAAAGGCGCCATTGTATTCGTTGCGAATATATCCGACGCTTTCGATGAGAATCCGCAACGAGAAAGCTCGCGGAAGGAAGCGCAGTTAGAAAAAAAATTTGACGCTTTATACGAGAAAAAGCGTTTAAAACTTTAACGTGTCTGCCAACTTGAGCGCGTAATCGTTTTATGATAAAGTAAAACTTGAGATCTTTCTCTTAATGCCTGTACAGCGCGCTGCAATAAAAACGATTGAATTTTACTTAAAAAAAATTACTACTTTCATCATGCGCGAGGTGGTGCAACAAGAATTTAAATTAGAAGCTCAAATTTAAATTTTAATAATTTAAATTAAGTTAGAAATTCAAATTCTTCCCGCTGGCAGGGGAGAGAATAAATTCCGAGCTCCATCTTCGGTGATAACTTTCGATTATTACGTTAGAGAATGCGCGATACGCTCTTGCGCGCGCGATAGTTTGCGAATAATATTTGGACACTTCTAAAAACGCACGATTATTCGTTGTAATTTAATCTGCGTCGCGTTTCAATGACATAATTTTCTTGTCGTTCTTTTTTTTACAAGTTTCGCCGGCGCCGACATCTCTCTCTGTTTTGCTCTTTAGAGGCTTATCGTCGGGCGACATTAGCTTATCGCTATTAAGCGTGTGCAATATCCTCGTATTTGTTATCCAATTTGAGCATCAACCAAATAAGACGTTCATTATAATTGTAGACAATATTACACGAGGAAATGCTACGAAGGTACACATGCGAGGGGAATAAATTCGTAAATTACATTCGCAAGATCGGCAATGTAATACGATTCAGCCGCAGATACGCCGAGTGTTTCGCGGTATTTTTCTTCGGCGAACATGTGGCCGGTGTAGTCCAACTATTTGCTTAATTGGAGATTGTTAAATTTGGAGAACACGCGTTTTTTTTTTACGTACGGATGCATTAATTCGGTTCGGATCGTGTCGACAGAAAGCATCCATGTTTAAGTAATCGAGTAATTTTTGCCTATCCCTGATTATTACCCGGATCGAATTAACGTACTCTGCACTGAGACAAATGTCCGATTAAACATAATGGGATAATCCAATTACATAATAACAAGTGGATATGTCCGATGAAAAATATGATCGGTTTTTCAATCTCGTCGGATGTATCCATAATTTAATCGAAAAGCGTAATCGGAAAAATTAACCATCGGAAACACAATTCAATTTGGTTCATCCGATGGAAATTTTCCGTGTAGCTATCTCTTCGTCACGATTTGCATTTCATCGGATATATTCAGAATTTAATCGGAGAACGTAGTCGGAAAAGTTAATCATCGAAAACACTGTTTAATTGGTTTATCCGATGGAAATTTTTCTCCGTGTACGCGTTTATTTACCGAAAAGTGCGTGCTGTTAATTATTTAAGAAGCGAACGAAATAAATGCGCGTCGGATGCGTCCCGCTTGATCGAAAGATGAAGATACATTGTATCATCCGGACAAATAGAGCTGTGGACGGATAAAAACGTCGCGATGATGTTATGCTACAACGCAGTACGAAATTTTATACTCTGGTCAGATGCCAATGTGCTTATCGTGCACAAACGTCTACGCACAAGTGCGTATTACACGCGTAACTTGCGTTCAAAACGGGCGTCGTTATCGGTTGACCCCTTGCGTAAGATGTAAGAAATGTGTCCGCTCGTAAATGCCGAGTGAGGATTAGCGACGAAAAAGTTGCGTAGCATTTTTTTGCCATGTCAAAAGCTGCATTGGTAAAAAAACTAACGATGTCTCGCGCGTCACAAGAAGTGCATGTAACCCTGCAATATAACACGGCAAATGTAATGGAAGCGATGATAAAACGCGTGGCCGCGGACATTTTCTCGTGTGTGAAAATTAATGAGTTACGGATTATGTAATACGTTATTAGTCGGAACGGAAGATTGGGACGTGCGCGGGGAGGAAAATCTCGTTCTGTTCGCGGCGGGCAGCGAAAAACTTGGTGGAAAAAAAAATCCATTGTTGATAATATATTCATAAGTCAATATCGCGGCGTCGAGGGACAAGCATTTTTCATGGCGGTGGGTGGGAGAGATGCCATTTATGGGCATGCCCGATACAAAATTGACACAGGACGCCTTTTAAAGGCAGGTATTGATTGGGTAGCTGCTCTGCCTGGTGTGAACGAGAGGGGAAACCTGCTATGACATGGTCGAATCAGACATTGTATCTGTAAATGGGATGCAAGACGAAGGATGCTGGCGTTTCCCTCCCCCCTTCTCTCTCTCTCTCTGTGTCGCTCTCGCTCTCTCCCTTCTCTCTTACAATTAGAAGGAAGCAGTCGTCGCCACATTCTTTCATGAGATTGACACAGGCTGTCATCCGTGCCAACGTAGTAATCGAAATTCTAGAAGCGCGGATTGAGCGCACGTTTGTTTGTCGTAGATAGATGATAACGTATTACACTACGTACGTAAAAGAAGCTCGATTGCACAAAGTTAAATTGCAATTTTAACATACCAGAGTGCTACGAGGCAGTCGCAAAATGCGGAAGAATGAGAGCGAGAGTGTGAGAGGAAAAAAAATGAAAGAAAGAGAAGGGAAATATATTTTATACGCGTATACGTTTTAACAGCTCTAATTTATTTATAAGTCATACAGTTATTTGCAAACGAGTTCTTAACGACGCACCTCGATTATGTTTTCCTCCAGTTAACTTTATATTAGAGGGCGGATTTGATTTCGTCAATAAAACTTTCACCATATTGAAGTTTGTGTATTTTATAGCGGTGGAAAAGTTCCCGGATTAAATTAGCTTGGATTAATTTGGGGATTAAATTAAATTGTGGAAATTATATTTCGAATATTTCGAAAGCCGAAACTCTTGAGCACCGGTGAGATAAAGCTGAACGCGAAAGGAGGTCAGGAGGAGCAGGAGGAGACGGAGAAGGAGGAGGAGATGGAAGAACGGATATCGCGTCACAGGAGACATTGCACGTGCTGGCTAGAATATACTGCAGAAATTTTGAGCAAGGGTAGGCAGAGAGAGAGAGAGAGAGAGAGGGGGGGGGGAGAACGGATATCTGGATATGAGATCACGCGGACATCCGGTTTCGAGAATGAGCTGGGTTCACGGAGCGACTTGTCAATGGGAAGTGCGTTATCAGCGCGCGCGTGGTGCCTTCCCATCCTCCCTTTTCCAGTTCTCAACTTCCAGCTTTTGTCTCGTTTGATCTCTCTGACAGTTTCATCGGAGGGACCTGATTTTTTAACGAACGCGAATGTGTCCCGGGAAGTAGGTCGCGAAGATTAACTTAGAGCCCGTCACGAAGAAGGCGGGGAGCGCGTCTGCCGTATCATAATTTTACTTATTAAAAATCGAGTGAAATAACGTGACTTTCTTTTCGTTTCATTTTAATGGAAGGAATTTTTCGCGGGATTAACCGTGGCAGTTTATTCGGACGACGGGCCGGGAGACTCAACGCGACGAGAGCTCTCGAAATAGTTGGATGAATTATTTGCTGCCTCGTTCCAGAAGTTCCGAAAAAGGCAAGATATCAACTGCGATCTTGTTCAGGAGAAGTATTTAAAGTACAATTTTCTGTCGATATCCCGCGTTCGGCGCTACTAAATATATTATAAGTAGTCGCTCTCTAAAATTTTTTCAGTGAAAATAGTTTGGAGTAAACGCTCGCTCCAATAGAGTGAACGTTTCTCTCCATGGCAGTATTTTTACTCCGACTTTAGAGAGTGGAGGGAAGTCTTCTATTATGAGATCGGATTCTAATATGATGTTGCTGATTTTCAACGTCCAAATTCAATCGCAAATCTTTTTCCGCGACGATTACGCGATTTAACACTCAACTTTCCACTAAACGGATTTCACTCCAAGGGCAATAAATCCATGACGGAGTCAACGAATGGTGCCGGTTAATTTAGCAGAAACTCCGCTATCCCATATTAGGAGTCTATCTCATAATACGGGACTTTCCTCTATTAATTAACTGGAGTATGTTACAAGAAATGCTAAAGATTCCAACAGAAGA